CCCTAAAACAAAGTAGGAAAATATGTAAGGTTAGAAACTGAATATAAGCCAGGTGAGTCCAAGTGGTTCTATACTGAGAGCTGTCTTTGTTAGATACGAATAACAACTAAATCAGGCATAATCATGAAACATGTCACAGATGCGCACCCGCTCCCTCTTATCCTTTAAACTTTGCATTCTCATTTGATGAATTAAAGATAAGACCTTTTTTGAGGTTAAGTTTGGGAAACAGTGGCTGTAACTACATCAGCAAGTAATCCAATGCAATGGAGGTAGATAAGCTGAGCAGAATGGAGCTGTAATCATCATGATACATGTTTGGGGGTGGGTTTACTTCAGACCTGCTCTAGTCTGGTCTCATGGAGGGAGTGCCTGTTAGGGGTGGGAGTGTGCTAAGTGTGCTGCTGCAGCATATTTACAGCTTGGTTTCATTCATATGTCTCTCATGTTCCAAGACTGCACTGCAACAAAAACAAGACCATAATAAATGGGGATTGTCAGATGATTGCTTCAGAAGTGTGCTCCTGGACTGAGCTAAAGCACCAAGGCAACCAGCGAGACCCACACTGCAGTATTACCACTGATTGTTTAAAACCAAACAATATCCAGTCACTTAGCATTCGTATTGACATTAGGTTTTGTTAAAAACAGAAAGCAAACAAAATCCAAACTCTTATATCCTTAGGAGTGTTTTCATTGCTTATTTAATTGACTTTTCCTCTAGAGCTTTTACAATTCCACTGCACTAAACTGTGAAGCAGGAAAGAGGATCCTCATTATAATAAGGTCTGACAAGTTAAACTCTCCCAAATTGAGCAAACAAAACAAAGTTAAATGAGATTTAGAAACAACTGTATTAAGCCAGGATAGCATAAGCAAAAGAAAAAAAAAAAAAAAGGCAATTAAGAACAAAAACAAAACAAAAACTTGGTAACCATTCTTCGAAATTATTGGAATATTGGAAGAAGCTTGCAAAAAATGGACACAGTGATGTTTACTGGTAGCAGCTCTCCTTGAGAAGTTTATGTCTCCCCACATACTGATTGCCCATTCTCATGTTACACTGTGCGTGGCAAAGGAACAGCAAGAGTTTACAGAAGAATCTTTGGCTCTCCATTAACAGCATTTTTTTTCCTCTACTCTTTGCTGGTTAGCATTGCAATGCTTACAGCACACCAGGCTATCACTAGACATTTTTGAAGCAGCAGGATGAGAAAGGGCTTTTTTTGGCACTTGGCTAGAAGGGAGCAAGACACTTCTCTTTGTGTGAGGACACTGCCACACACATAGTACAACTGCTGCCATTTCAGGCTGTGCGTCTGCCCAGAGTTTGACTTGTGGTGCACTTTTAAAGCCCCTGGACACCTCTAGTGATACAGAAAATGTCTGGTTGCGCACTGAGCAGTATTTCATGGACTGAGACATTAGATACAGATTTTGATCTATAAGACTCCAGGAGAAAAAGGGAGGAACTATGATATTCTATAACTGCCTGCAGCCTCAGAGGCAGCTGCGAGCTGAGTCCCATCAAGAAAGGAGCAGACTGCGGGTGCTGGCTTTGGGGAGTGGCTTGGTGCTGGCACAGGAGCTGGGTGTTGCTTCAGTGCTGGCAAAAGCCTTCCTCTGCACACGCAGAAGTTATATCCTCTGTCACCTCTCAATGAGTACATAACTGTGGCAGAAGGCTTTTTTTTTTTTTTTTTTTTTTTTTTTTTTTACCATAGCACATGAGAAGGAAGCTTGTGGACCTTTTCTGAGCTATCAAGGACAAGAATTAAAAAACACAATTTGCTAATGCCTTCTGCTTCTCTAAAGTGATCCTCAGCCTCCTGTAATCTTGTTTGATGGGGGAACAAGGAGCTATGATCTGCAGAGCTCCTGAGCAGGGAGAGGATGGGTGGGCAGGATGTCAGATGGAAATTGCCAGTCACACACTGTGCCCGAGTGACTCGGCTTCCATCCTGTGTCACTGAAACAAGAGAGCTGCCATTATACACTATATTTTCAGAATTGATGGCTTGCAATTTATATTTAAGGAGGCAATAAAGAAATAAAGAACAACCAGCATTTGTGATAAAGCCTGATAAACCCGTGCAATAGCAGTTACCTTGTGCTGCCTTAAAGAATACTTAAAGAATAATAAAGAGACTAGCTCATGACTACAGACAGCAACTGTACAGCTCCATTTGTTACCTACACACACACCACTCCAGGAGCTGTGTTTCTGCGTCCTCTGCTGCTGTGACCCTGGGAAACCACTTTCTGCAGTGTGTGGTCAGTGACCAGAAACAGACCCTGAAAGGGCAGAGCTGGACCCAAGAGAAAGATCACGTGGCAAAGTGCTGCCCAGAGGAACAAAACTAGCTCACAAAAGATGAGGTTAGTTTTAGCTTCTCCTTCTACAGTGTAACTTTTTCACCTGATGTGTTTAGATGAGGTAAGAGAGATAACTATCTCAGGTGCGACATTTCAGTATATTTTTCTGACAAGAAGTTGAATAATCAGATTTTTATAATTAAAGATTGGGGCTTAAAGGGAAAATGATTAGCGATCTGTCAACTTCTCCACTGTGGGACACAGTCGTTGTGTAAATCTTTTGCTTTGGTTGGGTTTGTGGGCTGAAGGTTAGGTGTCTTTCAGTTGCAGTTTGAGGTTTTGACCCACAAATCACAAGGGAGCTGGATTTTCATCATGTTGCCATGCGACACCAGAAATCAGCTCCAGTTGGAGTGAAAGAGGGCCCGCTTTGCTCAGCAGCCTGGAGAACAGTCGCAAAATTTTCCACACACCTGGACTGGGCTTTGAGTTTGTAACAAAGCTGAACACAAGCCAAGTTTCTCCTGGCTTTGTTACCAAGCTTTTTTGCACAGATCTATTATTCACTGCATTAATTTTTCCTTTTTAAAGAAAAAAAAAATTCTCCTTGTCTTTTTAAAGCAAACCTTCAGGAGGAAAAAAAAAAAAAAAAGTTTTCTGGGGGAGAAAATGTAAAAGCAACAGCAGTGTTTCCCAGCAGCTGGGAGATGCGAGCCTGCAGTGAGCCGTACCACCACAACACCCCAGCAGCTACAAACACAGACTGATAGCTTCAAATGTAGGACAGTGTGGGGAGGGAAAGAAAAAAAAAAGATAGAAGACAGAATGAGTGCTGTTTGTCTTGGCTGGTTAGCACATTATCCCCACCTGCATTTGATTCTGCTCAGTCTCCGTACTCCTCCCTCACTTTGGAGCCATGGAAATACAGGAAGTCAGGAGGGGAACGGAGACAGAACACTTTGTACTAGCAGCCAGACCACTGTTTAACTTCTTCAGCCAAAAAACAAATATGAATATGGAAAGATTTTATGGCGAGATACATCAACAGACTGAAGCAGTTCTCAGAAGCCTCCTACAGTTGCTCATTCAAGGTTTTTGACCTGCGGACTTCTCTTATGATTAATCACAGTGTTTGTTTTGTAGTAGTAGTACTGAGTAGTTATCAAGAGATGCGAACCATCAGGTATGCCATGCCGAGCTCTATCTGCTGCAAGGACTTGCTGGTCTTCAAAACTTGCTCTTATATCTAGCCCTGGTTACTTTTTGAGTTTCATTGAGGTTTGAAAGTGAAACCCAGACAACAACCTCTGTGCTTACCAGCAACGAAGCCTGGGTGCAGTGCACAAGACACACGGCAGCCTGGAGCTTTTGAAACTGCACAAAACAGGACATGCAACAGCCAGCAAAAAATCAGTTGCAGACTACAGTTAGTCTTAGACACACACACAATAAAAATTAAATGACTTTTTCTACATTACAAAATTCTTTTATGTCAGACTTGTACATTTTCTTCCTTTAAATACAGAACAAATTTTAGCAGCACAACTCCTTTGCACAAGACTTAGGACAACAAGGCAGTGCAAAAGACTAAACTCAAATTTTTGCAACAAGAAGACTCTGCAAGCCTCAATTTAATTTGTTTCCTACCTAAAATGAAGATATACAATTAAAGAACTGCAAAGTCAACAAAGAGCAGAAACTGAAGCTAAGGATGCAGATTCTGGCAATATCCCCCCTAATGATGCTGTGAAGAATGGACAGAACAAGGGGCATCTTCCTTTCTTATGCCTCAGAACTAAAAGTTTTCTTTTGTCGTTTTTTTTTTTTTTTTTTTTTTCCTTCCCCTGGAGTTGCCTCACGTGAAGACCCATCAGGAACCAGATAGTGCTGTGACAAGCACTTCTCATGAGCCAGATGAAATTTAAGATGCAAACTGCAGTTAGTTTGATAACAACAAAGTGCCTCTCTGAATCCACAAACATTGCCTCACTGAAATATCCTGATCTCTTCTAGAGCCATGGGGATGGCAAATCAGTTTTAGCTTTTTCTGTCACAGAAAAAAAAACAAACCAAGTTTCTAAAAAATTGAGGAAAACAAAAATAGAAATGTAAAAAACACTATTTCCACAAGTTATGTGCTATTGTACAAATGCTGATCACTATAAAACCCTGGCACCTAAAACCTATTGACTAAAAACTGTTGAAAATGAATGTCCAAAGAGATTCCAGTACAAATTTACAGCCTTCCTCCACGTTACATGTAGTATATTAACATTTTTCATTTATTTATTTTGAATGGAGAGAGGGAATGGCACTCACTAGTGGAAGCTGTAATGTTCAATTACAAGCATTTGAATGGGGGAAGCACAGAATTAAGATAAGTGTTAAATGAAAACAAACAACTTGAAACAAAAGAACAAGGATAAAGAACAATTCAGCATGCCTTTCTCCTTCCCATCTCCTCCCGCTCAGACACAGGAGAGCATGCACATGAAGGGGTTAGGAACCGCAAACAATCCTAATCCCTGAGTCACCCTTGAATATCACAGAGAGAAACGCTGCCAAATATCACCATATATACTGTGCTGTTGTCTGTAATGGAACAACACTGATAGGGTGGCTTGCTACCTGACTACCATGGTGAGACTTTTTTCATGTGTTTACAGACCTCTACAGCAAATTATCTTTCTCTAGATATCAATGTAGAAGTGCGTTTAGGAGTTAGTCATACTGATGTGTCTTATAGTTAGTGGACAGAAATGGGCAACTAGTTTCTAGTTAATGAAATTTATTTCAGATGTCTGTTTTAGGATGGTATGCATTATGCCCTAGATGTACCTTCCCCCCACTACAGAGTCCAGACTTATAGATCAGATGTCATCACCTACAGCAAAACATTCCAAGTGTTAAAATGAATCCCTTCTCCTGGGTCAAAACCCTTCCCCACTGTAGTGAATGAGGTTTTGACTCTGATGAAACCAGAAGCTCGCTTATTGTTGCTCCGTCTCTGTTTCACCTACACTGCTGTGCTAGGCTGTATCACAGTCACCAGGCCAAGAGTAAACAACCATTAGATGCTGTGGGCATGGCCTTTTCCAGTTTAGGAGCTAAGCTTGCTGTTCGAAACCTGGTAGGAACAGGGAAAAGCTGCTGGCAATAACTTGGCTCTAAGGCAGTGGGTCCTGCAGACCTGGAGCTCAACAAGAGGCAAGAACAGGGAATCACTGCCTAAGTTAAAACATCGCTGCTCCTAGATTGCATCCTTTGCCACTCCTGTGATTTGCCATTTGAAAGCTTCCCCAGGCTTTTCACATATAATGTCATACATGTGACAGTCAGCAAATAGCTTGTGCCTCAGGTATCTCTGTCGCAGCAGAGGGATCCCCATCTGCCAAGCAAGAGCAGACAGATGATGTGCTCAGTGGGCAGCAATGCACAGAGCATGCAGCCACACAAAGAGAGGCTGTGGTGTGGACTAGGGCTATAAAAACACTGCCATGAGACCCAGCTGGCAAAAAATTTGCCCTTAAGGTCTTGCATGAAACACGCCCACTGCTGTTGTGTTGGCTTCTTCCTCCCAGGAGACTTCTCACAACTGTCCCGAGTTTCAGTGCACATCCTCACCATTCAGACCAGTGTCAATTTCTAATTCTCCCCAAACTTTACTATTGAATGGATGGGGCTGAACATCAGAAATTTTTGTAGATTGGTGTCTGAAGAAAAAAATGGAAGAGAATCAGAAGATGGAAAAAAAAGGAGAAAGTTGACACACTATTCAGGAAAGAGAAGTTATGGGATCACAATAATAGACCATTTTCAAACACAATTTCATTGCCTTTCACTCAGTTAATTATGCTTCAAATTGCCCTAGATGGTGCCAGAAGCAGTCTTAGAAATAGAATAAATGATGATAGTAATACCAGCTTGGTTTTGTGGAGCCTCCATAACTGGGTGGCACCTAAATAAAAGCATCTAAGGTGCCAGAAACCAATTTGTGGTTTGGTTTTGGATTCATTTACAATTTGGTTTGGCTTTCAAACAGATCTAAGTATGATTGGGGTAGGGTACAAGAATACAGAGCCCTCTTATTTCTGTGGGGTGGTCAAGGTTTGCATTTCACCACCACCGGTTCGTGGTTAGCCTCTTCTTTTGGCTATTAAATTTGATGAAGATTATAGAACTGTCGGTTGCTCAAAGCACTGCTAGAGTTAATGATGGTCTGTTTATGTGTACATCTATGTTTGTGCAGATGTGACTGCAGAAACAGGACCAGAATCCGGGTAGCTGGTAAGTACATATGGAACAAAATAAGGTCATGTGCTAAAATACAGGACTGGTAGTTTAAGCAAGTGATGACTGCCTTAACAAGTGCACCCAGGAGAAGTCACCCCAAATACCATTTTACGTCCTTCACAACATACTGGTTTGGAGCATAGTTTTCTACCAAGAATTTACAGGTCATGAAATCAGGGGAAAGCACTGACAGCTATATGAGCATTTAAGCCCTATGCATTTATAGAAGGCTTAAATAAGCAAAATTAAAAATAAGAGTGGGGTAATAGAGTTCAGTTTTTGACTATGTTTAAAATATTAATAAGATCCTTATGATTTATAAAATCCTTTAAGATGACTTGAATATGAAAAGTGACATGATAACAACATGCCTGGTTCTAAGGTTTCTTTATGCTGGAAGCTATGCATGTAGGGGCACATACCAACTTTCTAAAAACGTAACTAGGTCAGGTTACACAATTCTTAGAACAGAAAAGGAGGTGGTTGTTGTTTATTGTACTTAGATCCGCTTTGATTGCCTTTGTGCTGCATCTTCCATCTTGCTATTTATATTTTTAATATGTGGACTCCAAGAGGTCTGTCCAGCCCAAGTACTTGGCTAAGAGCTCTGCAAAGCCCCAAACCTTGATGTATTTTTCTCTTCTTTTAAAATCCATGCATAGGTACATGTGTCAGTACGCCATTTGTGTTTTAACATGCGCACACACAACTTACTGAATGTTCACAGTCTCAAGTTTTCCAGATCTCCTTTTTCTAAATATCTTAAGGGCTATCACTGTTATAAATAAGGATCATCGGGATTATTAAAAGTGAGAGGAAGCATCCCATGATTGGAAATGAGGAGAAATTGGTTTGTTCAACCTTGTAAAGCAAAGACTGAGAAAGGATATTGTGGCCCTTTATACAGAGAATGTAAGATCCTTGTCATGAATAAAAGTAGCTAAAGCGAGAAAAAGGTTTCTGGTTCTCTGGAGATAGAAGTCCTGTAAGCTACTTCCACATGAGACCTGTGGTGACAGGATGTCTAAATGGCTTAAGATGGATTTTGAGGGGATTATGGAAGGGACTGTATAATTTATAGAGAAAAATTCCTAGAATATGTTTCTGATGCATGTCTATAGGTATCCAGTATATTGGTACACACAAGGAAGTTTGCAAGGGGAATGTATTTGTAGTGCGTTTATGCCTGATTAATTTCAAGCTTCAAATTTTCATACCTTGTGATCGCCAGGAAGAATTATTCACCTTTCTGCTTTTTTTTTTTTTCTTTTTTTTTTTTTTTTCCCCCCTGCTGTTTTCCTCCATCTGCTGAACGGCTAGAGGTTGGCAGAAAGAGATGCAGATGCAGTCACTGATGGTCCTATCCCATTACATTCTCTTCAGTGTCCAGTTGGCACATCCCACTGGCACTCACTAAACTGAGCACAGATTTTTCTTTCAGGTCATACTGGCAGGTACCCTACTGGGTACTCTACTCAGAAGAAAAAGTTATTAGTCAGCTTTTTTTTTTTTTTTGTCACCTAGGAGTCTTATTTAGCACACACTTATGATCTGACAATGCTTTCCTGTTCTGTTACTACAGCACATTATAGCATAGCTTTTGACCTTCCACTATAAACCTACATTTCATGAGCATGGTAAGAAGTATTTTGTGTGCTATGGTCACAGGAATGGACGGTCCGTCCTCTCATGAGCCCAGCATCTCTCTCATGGCTGAAACTGTTGGAGATTAGCTTCAAAGGCAGAAGAAGGTGGTTCCTTCCAGCCCTGTGTTCCTGAATACCAGTACAAACTATTACAAAAGACTTGCACAGCCTTGAATGCAGAGACTGGAAAAAAAATTGACAAGTCTTTTAGGCTTGGGTGGTATTCAATAATTGCATTTGAGAAAACAGCTGAAAACAGGTTTAGCGTGGATTCATGTGAATTAAGCAAGTACATCCAGTTCCTTCCTCACTTTGGCTCCTCTGAGGGCAATTTTCATCTCAAATGTTTCAAGACCTCAGCTTTGAAATGCACACAAAGGGAGATAACACAGACAGATACCTGGCAGGCAAGAAATACAACAAGTGGAACAGTGATAGGGAGTAGAAAAAGGGAAGAGAAGTCTGGATTGGGAAGAAAAGACAATGAGGTTGGAATGGCAGTACCCTGAGGAATGGGAAGGCACCTTTGGTGTCTTCAAAGAACCAGAGAAGCTGCAGCTAATTTAGAATCAGAGCTATGCTTTGAAACACGTGCGTTTTATTTTAGTGTTAGAAGAAAGCAATGGAGAGATTTTCTGACCAACACGTGAAAAATCACCCAACACAGAGATATTAGAACTCGGGACCTTTTTCACTCCGTCCCATATTTACTCCTCTAGAGGACACTGTTGTATAAGAGCAGATGCACAGTAAATGCTAAAAAACACCTTTTCTTTTTTTTTTTTTTTTTTTTTCTTTTAAGAGACAAGACCCATGAATGTCTGACATTCAACAAAAATGTCATTTCTGAAAAATTTCTGCAGCACTTGTCTATATTTCTTGGGCGTGAGCACCTGCTAAAGCTCTGTGCGTCTGACATGAAGGTTTACCTCTCAGTAACAGCATGCTGCCTTTGCCTTCACTAAGCCATCCACGGAGCCGCCATATACACAAAGCTGCCTTCTACTTCAAAACACTGCCTCGCCATCCCAGGCTGTGGTTGAAGGGGATTTGGTTGGGCACAGAGGTCAGTGCAGCACCAGGGCCTTTGGCCATGTTCCCTTTTCTGACTTAAAACCCAACCATGGCTACATAATTGCACCACAGAAATAAACGCTTACAATTTATTAATGGAAAAATAAAAAGGAAACAAACAAACAAAACAAAACATAGCTTCCACATGCATTAGAGTGGAAACAGGGTAGATGCTAACTTGGGTACAGCTCTCCAATGACTGAATAAATAGCAGTAACAAGGCAGTTCCAAAGTTTATCAGATGACTGTATTCATTTGCTCTAAATATCGTATTCAGTGATTTGTGCTGATTCTTCAGTTTGTGGGATTAGTTACAGTTCATTGTAAGTTCTAACTGTATTTCCATGTATTGTGTTAAGACCTGATTCAAGAGTAGTTTTATTTGATAAAAACCAGATGTTCTTAAAAGAGACTCTCTCCTTCACAGTACAAAACATTATTCTTAGCAATTGTATGTACCTTACAAAATTAATAAGCACAGCATCTCCCTGCGTGACATATGACATTATTATATTTTTCCCTGTTGAGGGACTTTTAAGCCGTCGGGGTCATGACCTTGGTGCCTTATGAGAAATGGAGAAGCACATGGTTCTAATTTTATCTTCAACCCTGCCCTCCTGCTGACATGTATGTTTACAATACGGTTCATCTGTTGACCCTTCACTCACATTTAAAATATTAGCTAACATTTTTCAGTCCCAATCACAACGGTGCACGGTGATTAGCTTTTAAGACCAGTTGTTTTCTTTATTGTGCTTTGACATGCACATCTCATCCAAAAGCCCTTCACCAGTTATCTAATTCAAACCCAGTGGTGGCCAACAAAACCATCTCCAGTTTGTCTGGACACTTCAGCTCTTGTTACGAAGCAGGGCACTTCAGAGCTCTAAAGACGCAATATCACCCCACTGGCAGAGGAGACAGAAAACATCCTTCGGTGATTAGAGATAGAGCCGAGGAGACAGCAGGCTTGAACCCTTTCTTGGCCACAGCTCAGCACTGAGTCAGGATGGGCTGGGGCCGAGCTCTGCCCACCACAAATCCTGAGGACATGCAGGAGATGCCCTCTGTCCCCAAGGGAGACCACATCCTGTGGCTGGATCCCACCATAGGCAAGTCAGAAAGAAAACACTTCCAGAGAAAACAGCACTTTCACTGGTACGTGTCAGGTGCTGAAAGAACACACGCTCACTTTTCAACATGAAGCGAAAGAAAGTGCAACCAGATAAGGCTGGCTTTTAGGGGGAGGGAGGCTAAAAAGCGAGAGCTGTTTATTCTCCACTCCATTTTCCCTTACATCAGAAGTTAAGCTAAGGAAAGAGAAAAGAAGGAGAGAGAGAGGGAGGGAGGGAGGGAAGGTGAGAAACAATCTCATCTTTTTTGGTTTTAAATTACAGGAAAAAGAACAAGTACTTTTCTTTTAAACTCAAATGGTACAGAATATTCAGAAAGATACTTTTAGCACTAAGATATGAAGCAACTGCTTCATTTTTTTTCTCTCATTTTAAATTATATTTTACATTTTAATTATTTATATCAGCAACATATAATATGCCCTGGTAACGTGGTTATGAGAAGAATATAAACCACTACCTTGTAAAAGAAAATTATTTAACTGGTTATTTTCACCACTCTGTACTAAATGATCACATACAAATGTATGCCTTAGCTTAAACTGCATAAAAGACCATCACATTCATTACACACTAGATTCAAAATATTCTGAAGCCCGGCATCCTCAGTTTTCCTATAACCTGTTGTCTCTCTAGGTAGTTTCAATGTGCTTACTGATATATTTGGCTTCCCATAGAAATGATGTACATAATTTCCAGGCCGAAAATGTTCCAAGCTTATGGCTCTGCTGAAGAGAACTTCAGAAGTGTTAACATCTTATTTTTAGGGAGTGAGAACTGGGTCTTTTTGGGGTGGTTGTTCTGGGAAGAAATTTCATTGAAATCTGGGCAGATTTGGGATTACTCTGCTTCTTGAAGGAAGGGATATCACAGTGCTAGGTCAGGCTCTGAAAATGACTGGTTCCTGCAAGTTTCAGTGATCACCTCTACGTCCTCAAACACCTTGAGAAGGGCTAAATAATGAGTTCAGGGAGGGACAGAGAGAAAAGCACTTCAGACAGCTGCAAAGCCAGAGCCACTGCTTTGTCCTGTGGGAAGGACCAGCAGAAAAAACTGAAGAAAGATCCTATCTTTACTCTAACAAGCACAGAAGTATCTTTAGACACTTGGGGAACATTGTTGTTTACAATTATAATTTCATGATAACTGCACTGAGATGTCTTGTTCTATATAGTTGGGCAATCCCATACACTTGCTCATTTTAATTTGGCTATATACAATACAAGTATATATGTAAGTAGATATACACACGTTTAATAGCAACCAATAGCAATGTACTCCAAAGATCTCTTGTAATACATCAATAATCCTGTTGAAGTCATTGCTGTTCACAGTGAGGTGATGTTAGCTGCAGAACCAGACCCTCAAGTTGTCTTGCTTTCTCACTCCTATAATTCATTTAATTTTTTTTTCTCCCTTTCTTCATGGCTCTGGTTGCCAGAACAGCCAATATCAGCCAAGACAGTTGGATACCCCGTGTCTCAGGAACTGATGCCAACAGCAGTCGGGGGAGCAGCGCTGGTGTTCAGCACATTTGGCTTTTTTCCTTACGGTAATGAAGACATCATACTGCTTCTGCCCTCCCATCCCCATAACCTCTGATCCTTAACACGGAGTCTCTGGGCATGAAACATCGAGCCTCTCAGTGCTGCATAAAATCAACGCCACCAGGGAGGCTGTTCCTTGCCATGTTGGCAATTCACTAATCGCTCCCTTTAGTGCTCCGCCAAGGAGGACAGATGGACGTATCCCTTCTTAAGTCAGCTGCAAACTGTGATCAATTTCCACATTAGACTGTTTCCAAAACCTTCTGACATAATTCATTATTGCTTGTGTGTATCTTCAGCTTATGCAGAATTTAAAACTGCATCATTAGTACTTTGGATCTGTGCCAGTTAGACATGCATGACAAAGCCGCATTTTTCCCTCCAATAGTTGGGTGCAACTCAGCTTTTGAAGAGAAAAAAAACAATCCATAAATCCACCAGCTCAAAATTACACTATTATTCATTAATCTGTCACTGTAGAAGACTGGATTTCCTGCCCTCATTTCCACCAATACACAGCAATGCAAGTAGAGGACTCGAAGCTTTTTTAATGCCTACTTGCTCACAATTCCTACAATCTTGTGACAAAGAAGAGCAATAGACTTGTTGCAAAATACTTTTTCTACCAGTAGGGGACGAATAATTTAAGTAGATTTGGACAGAGAACTAATTAACACATAGCTACATAAGTATTCTTTATCTGCTTAAAGAATCAATAGGATCAATAAGAGTAAGGCATAGCAATCACACAGCACTTAGTAACAAAGCCTCATATTGTACCTTTCCCACAAGTTCTGAGCTCAGTATGGAATTACTCATGTTTTATCAATAAGGAAAAAGACACAAACTTTTCCACCATGACAATGAATGACTTAGAAGAAGAAAGAAAAAACAGTACATCTCAGCTCTCAGTCCTCTGTACTTTGCTTTTCACTTTGTCATTTCATTTCCACAGCCCTCACTCGATGGACACTACCCTTCATACAACACTTTACCACACTGTGGCTCTTTCACAGAATCACAGAATTTCTAGGTTGGAAGAGACCTCAAGATCATCGAGTCCAACCTCTAACCTAACACTAACAGTCCCCACTAAACCATATCCCTAAGCTCTACATCTAAACGTCTTTTGAAGACTTCCAGGGATGGTGACTCCACCACCTCCCTGGGCAGCCCGTTCCAGTGCCTAACAACCCTTTCAGTAAAGAAATTCTTCCTAACATCTAACCTAAAACTCCCCTGGCGTAACTTTAGCCCATTCCCCCTCGTCCTGTCACCAGGCACATGGGAGAACAGGCCAACTCCCACCTCGCTACAGCCTCCTTTAATGTACTTATACAGAGCAATAAGGTCACCCCTGAGCCTCCTCTTCTTAACTTCCTAAAGGAGTTAATGGGAATGCACAGCTTTTACTTATCGAAGACAGGTGGAAAAAGTACAGCAACAGCTACCTCACCTATGGCCTTTATTTATGCCAGAAGAGGTCTTTGACTGTTCTCGTTCTGATACAAATCTGTATTTTCAGCACCTGGAAGAAGAATGTGTTCATAAGCTTCTCGTAACAACGTGAGCATGAAAGTCATCACATAGGACCCTGCAAGATGATGAAGTGCTTTTGTGGATGGCTACGATATGGAAGGAGAAGCTGACATACATGAATATAAACATTCACTTCTCTTCCATGAACAAGGCTGCCACTAACAGAGCAGGTTTCAGAATGCCAAAGGGAGTTGTGTAAAGCAGAGTTAAAACAATAAATACTACAAATTCCGGTATAGACTGCTTCTAATATTCAAAATTTGCCACACTTGAAATAAATATAAAGAACATTCTCAGGTTTTGCATTAAAAGATTCTATATGTTTGTATACACTGACTCTTTAGAAGATGGAGCCTTTGTAACAATATCAACCAACTCTTGAAAAAAAGATCCTCATATAGAACATCTCTCTACTCAATGCTTAGCGTCCCTGATGCTGAAGAGCACCATCAAGCACCATGTGTCACTGCTTATCCATGAATTCAGTTCTGGTGCATTGCCACAAATATACTTCTGTGATTAGTAAATTGAATTGGTGAAACACATGAGAAGCCACATTTTGTTAATTTTTTATGTCAGCCCCATGGTTTCAGGACTTCTGTGGACCAAATTTACAGAGAAGACAATGTCAATAGTGCTGCAAAGGGACCAAAGGAAAGGGGTCTGCATGAATGTGCTGTATAGTCACATTGGCTAAGACACTGTATATAAAGAAATATATATAATACATATATATATAAAGTCAGGTGGGACTGCTTAGTATTACGCATTTATGCTGGTTGCATTTCCTTGTTGTCTGCTCCTGGTGTACAAATCACACTAACTTACACTCAACACTGATTTATTTGCATACAGTATAGCCCCACTTACATCTGATTTGAATCTGACACCAAATGCTCCAAGCCTCGGTCAGCCAGTCCTGTTTTTTTTCAGGATGGTAAACCCAAACCAGACCTACATGGGCTTCTTTGAATAAGCCCTGGAAGCAGAGTACTACTGAAGGGAGAAGAGGCAAGTCAGGCACGAGGGCAGCTTGCTGGGCACTGCAGGGACCACGGGCTGCGGCAGGGAGCTCAGCAGCAGCACCGCAGCAGGCCTCGGTTTGGCAGAGCATGATTGTCCTCTGCGCTATTCAGAAGCCTACTGAACAATTCAGTACCAGTTACTGCAGTAAAGATTATGTGATCGGATCCTCAGCAGAATCAGCGTAGCTCCTCATTAACTCAATATATATGGGGTTAAGGCTCATCCTTCTGTTTCAAGCTCCTTCTCCCTTCAAACACTCTCATTGCTAAAACCACCTCTCTGCTCTCACTGCCAGTCAAGCACAGGATATATAAGATTCACAAAAGCTGTTGACCTGTTGTGTTATTTCTTGGCTGCGGTTGAAAAGCCTGAGGTACTCAGCTGAGGTCAACACCAGTGCTGGACGTTCAGTGACACTGCTACAAAATGCAAGAGCATCCAGATGAATTTGACTCTCCAAAGCAACCCAACTCAATTATTTCCGATCTCTCTGACCGGGTATTGTATGCGGCATGTGCACAGTCAATTCTGCTCTTCTGATCTGCTGCAGCGCACTGCCCCTCCGCTCTGTGCCTGGCTTCTGAGGTTTTGTCAGGGAGGGGATGACTGTAGCTCTTTTTTTGTCAAAACCTAGTAAGAATTTGGGTAGGCCTTGAGGTACTACCATAATTCAAATATTATTGTTGTTATTAATAACAACAAGAGCAACAAGAATAGGCATATATGTCACGTTAATATTAGAAGTACGGTGTTGACAGCTTCCCTTATGCAGAGGTAAACACTGATGTTCAAAACCATAAAAAGCAAGGGAATGTCAAGCATATGCTAACTTAAAAGAGCTCACTTGAACTGTTACAGCACTGTGTAAGACATAACAAGAAATGTTTTATGTTATATACACACAGATTTATGCTCACATACACTTTAGCCATTTTTGTGTGATGAATTTTCACACAAATCCTTTGCTGAAATTCAGAAAGCCATCAAGTTTTCCATTTACTCAGATAAAGCAGTTACAAAACATTAACTCTACTGAGGGTGATTTGAGCAGAGAAAGGAACTCAGCGGAATGAAAAAGTACTCTCCAATTCTAACTGCAGCAGATGTTGTTTTGGTCATTGCTAGCTGGCTGTGAAGTTAGAGCCCCAGAACTGTGGTTTCATATGCGGTTCAAGTGTTGGCTGCATTTATGTTGGGGGAGGAGGAGGATGCTTGCATGCAGGACCTGGCATGCATTGTTTTAAAAACAAAACAAAACAAAAACCCAAACCATAGCTGTCTTCAATTATTTTCCATTACAGCATTGTCTGCATGTAATTGCTCCATGTTTTCCATTAAGGAGTGCCAAATGAACGAGTGTGTTAAGAGTATAGGATGTACAAATTCTACTGGTAATGCTGCCCTGTATCAGTAAATAACATGAAACACAATCTCCCTTGACCTGTATGATGCTTACATACAATTAATCTGGGCTTTTCAAGTGTCCAATGTTATTTACCGTATCTTCCATCAACAGCTGAGGCTGGGGACTCAGAGAAAACCCAGGCAATGGGAAGTTAGACAGGGATTTCAAAGAGGTTTTAACTGGGGCTAAATGGTCGAATGCCTTGTAAATTGGGCTGTTGCCAGAACTCACAGACAGAGTTTTGGGGTCTGTCTTTTTTGTTTTGTTTGGAATATCTAAGAGAATGACACATCATATAGGTCTTTTCTGTGCCCAAAAGTAAGGACTCTCCACAGATTTCCAGCAATTTGAAGATCGGACCCCACATGCCATTTTGGTTGCTCCCCAAAAGCGATGCTTTTATCATTAGTCTTGCTGTAAAAGGCTTTGTCTGCTTGCATGTACTGGCTGCATGGATCAAGCTCAGTAGCTGGAGGACAATGGGAGCCCCTGGGAGACAGTGCCTGGGGACCCCCTAGCCTGGCAGGGCTGGGACATCCCTTCCCCAAAAGAAGAGGAGGGCATACTGTAGGGTAGCAGCAGTGCATGTGAGGAAGCACACTGTGCCAAACACAATGCAGTGGGATTTCTATTGTGGAAGAGTCCAGGAGACATTGTGATTTGTGTTAACTGCCTCCTGCACAGAGCAGAGTTCATCTCAGCTACAGTGAAGTTTTGCTTTTGAATTCCAAGAGTTATTAACGCCTATAAGCGGAAAGTATAATATACAGAATAATTATATCGTACAGCAGAAGTTAATATACCTGACCCATAAAAATACACACATGACTTCTTCTGCCAAAGGAATCTCAGTAAGCAAATTGGTTAGGCTTGGCAGTTCATAAGTAAGTTGTAATTACCCACTGGAAACAGCATAATTACACCTTACCTCAATGTAGCAATATCGTTCCCTTATTACCCTGATCAAACTATCAAGATACAGTTGTCTAGACAAAATAAATCAGTGATCTTCATGTTATAAAGCCTTCTGCTACTGCATCCCTTCCTTTTTGTCATTCTCATGCTGCCTCCCTCAGCAATGTTGGTTCTAAACTCGAGACTACAAACTCTTGCCTACAGCCAGCTGTGCGCTGCGAAAAGGGAGATGTGGGAGTACACTCGAAAATGAAACTGCAGTAACAGCAGAGAAAATTAAACAAAACTTCTTTTAAAAAGATACAGCCACACTATTGTACACCAATGAGGGAACAAACACCAAATGCAGAGTAATACTCATAGAACATTTTCAGAATTTGTTTTGAAGAAGTTATGATTTACTATGGAAAAACACTCAACTACTATCTGAGCTAGTCTTAATTGAACTTGACAGAAGACGTGTGTACTTACACTACTAGGACATTCAGAAACTGAAGCTGGATTGACATCCTAACAGGGCAAGAGAGAAATAAATAATCTTTTAAAGAGGGTGAATTTTCACTGGAATGGTGTTTTTTTGTTGTTTTGTTTTATTTTTACCTGATACGATGGGTAACAACAGCAACCACTGTACATGTGGAACAGAATACATTTTCTGTACAAGCACTAATTCTTATTTATTTTGAAGGAACAAACAAACAAACAAAACAAACAACAACAACAAAAAAAACCTGCACAGTTTGTAACCTAGTATGATTGTAGCCGAATATTTCGCTAAAAAAAAAAAGTCATTGGTTATTTGCTCAGGCAACTTCCAAAAACCCAAGTGCTTGCTCTGAAAGCAAAAAAAACCAAAAAAACAAACAAAAAAAACCAACAAACCAAACAACCCATAGTGTTAAAGGTGGACGTTCTTCTCTTACATATACAACAATTTTCCATGTGCTATGGGCTTTGTACTTCTTCAGCCAGATTAACTACTTTTCCTGTATTTAATTAACTCCTAATAAATAGAGGACCTGATCCTGACTGGATCCTGCTGCAAGAGATATCTACCCCTGCCAAAAATAAATAAATAAATAAATAAGAAATACCATATAACTGAATCTATTTGATTACAAGGACCTGCCTCAAAACCACACCCATGCTGCAGAACGGAACTATACCCCATTCACATGCCCATTTCACATAGAGCTAGCTGCTAAACACACATTCCTTGAAGATTTTCCATTCCATTACATTCAGACAGATGACACCTTCAGTGCCAACTAGACCGTACCATGGCAAGGTTGCCTTTCCCAGAACTTTTATTCAACCTCAAGCACCTTACTCCATGAGCTAGCTCCCTGACTGCAGAGGAAAGCTGCTAGCACTACTCAGCACCTTGGGATGCACACAAGGACACACTTTTAGACAGCCAACTTTGAAATGGGAAAGCTAGCTGTATCTTTTTGAGATAACTAACATTATATTATCTCCTTGGATGCACAAATGCATAAAACCAGAACCTCTCCCATGGAGCACCGCAGTGAAAGGAAGATATGTGGGCTTACTTGGGTGGGAACCAGAAGACTCTTTGCAGCTCTTTGGGAATATATCACTGCCTGCTAAGTGTCACGTAACATTGGGTCTTGGGTGCAGAATCTTGCCATCATTTCTCTTTAGAAAGACATTAGGGTACAATCCTGGTCTAACTGAAGTTAACAGATTTTTTTCATTGACTTAATTGACTTAGGTTCGGATGTACACAGCCGTTATCTCTTGGTTTATATTTTGCAGTTCTGCACATCATGGGAGGAATAGAAATCAAAGGCATGGAAGCAGTGTGATTTTCAGAGGAGTGTGACTGGCACATTTTGCAAAGCAGCATGTGGAAATCAGTCTGACTGAAGTACAGAAGCTGGTTCCATGGGAGTGCTCCCTGCCACATCTGAGCTCAACCTGGCTGTTAGGAATAGGGGATTGGAAAACAAGAAATAAGGAACTCCGTAATCTTTAGTGGCCCCAAAGAACAACAATAAAAGTCCCAATTTTTGCTCTGTAGATGAGAAATTAAACAAATAAAACACATCCTTCACTTCTAGCTCTACCAATGCCTTCCCACATCTTTTCTGCGTGTAGGAACTGCATGTAACTGGGAAGTAATCATTTTCTGCAGTGTGCCTTTTCAGCAGCTGTTAGGACATCTGGATAGAAAACCATCTGGTGCTTATATGGTGGCAAACACCACCATAAACTTCCAGAATCCCCCTTCTTTTGCAAAGTTGCTTAAACATTAAATGGCAGCAGGGCTCTGAAGTAAGTCCTGCTCCCAGGATGAGAGGAGGGGAGCTCAAAAGCAGCTTTCAACATGGAACTTTGGATGGTAACAAAAGTTTTGATACTGCACCCAAAGTCTCAGATATAAGCTTTTGACTTCTTCAGCATCAGTAGATATTCCCTCCACTCCAGGTCTCCCCACGTGGAGCAGTATCTCCGGAGAACTGTAGACAGTTTGATTTCATCTCATCCCATCCTTTCCTGGGTATTTTTCCATTAGAGCTTTGCACAGAGCCCACAGGATTAGGGAAGAGCCAGATCTGAGTCTGTCAAGCTGTGGTTCTGTTTTCAATGGTTATATATATTGTGCTCTGTGTTGAATTAAAACTACAATAAAAGTCCTCTCACTTGTTACTGTATTTGTGTAATGTTCAAATTAGACAGGAACAGTTATTTGAGAGAAGCTAATCCAATGCATATCCAAAAAACATCAGGTTTTAATACAGAAACCATCTACTAACGTACTGGTTGAGTGGAGAAATTCAAGCAGATCCGTATTACTCAATGTCAAAGGCTGGCAAAACTGGCCCTTCTGACTATCATGTCTCCCATTGTCCAGGGTAACAAACAGGGTTCGAATAAATATATAATGTGAAAATCTTCTAGGCAGGACCATGTCTTAACATGAATTTGTGCTTCAAATGATCGGTTATCTTCACATTCATGATGGAAGTCTTGGCACCTCCAGGTGAAATGTTAGGAGGCTGCCAGCCTAAGCAAGAGTTACAAATGTGCCTTACTAGAGTACTAATGACCACTACAACAGTTTTTGATGTTTAAATTGGTATTAAATCATCATTTGTTAACAAGCTGTTCCCTGCTAGCAGTAAAGATCAGAAGTACCAATTGCAACTGAAAGTTAAAGATGACATGGGAAAAGTCCATAAAGTTTAAAACTGGAACTTAACTGCAAAAATTAGCAACATACATAAACCATAGCTTTTGTTCGACAATTCAGAAGACAGACAAAAGCTGGGGGCTGTTTGCATTGGCAGTTATGAGCCGAGGACTTCTGGGGACTGGTACACTTGTAAAGTTGGACCAGAATTTCAGTAAGTTACCAATATATACATTCAGTTTAAACAGTAACATCTCCAACCCAAAGAACCCTTCTGGCAGATCAACACTGGCACAGTTATCTTTCTGAAAAGAGACAATTAAAATAAGCTCTACCGAGGACTACATTATGCCCCGAAGCTCTGATTGACTTCATTTCTTGTCTTACGTAGTTTATCAGGATCTTATCCATGGAATGGTTTGCTAAATTAACAACTCAAACAGAACGGACTGCATTAAAATGTTGTGGGTCAGGGGAAGATTAACTCCAAAGTATCACTCTCCTGAGCCCAAATTCTACACTTACGTTACGGTGGATTTACGCCAGGGTAAATGAGAGAAGAATTTGGCCCCTGACCTTCTCCAAGCAGGTCATTACAGTTGAAATAGTAACTGATCTTAGACAAACATTTTTGCTGCGAGGTATTTATTTCTGTATAAAGGTTTATGGAACATCATATTCTTTGCCCTTTAAGACTGATACTGACATATGTAAACACCACTGGGCTTGGTGTGCCATAGCTTAATCCAGCCTCTCTAAATCTGGCTAAAACAATGGAAATATCTTCTGAAACCATTGTGGGCTATATCCAATATAGTTAAAAACATCTGACTGCAACCGCAAATATGCTGGTATTTGGTTGTGCTATAAAAACATTTTTATGTCAAATACAACTGGGACTAATACAGTAAACTACAAGCACAGTTAACCCTTGGAATGAATTGCATGTAGACTCTTGAAGGTTAAGGTAGTCTACATTGGTTGTATTTTCTTATGAAGAGCATAAAGTGAACGTAGGGTATAAAAAGTAATTACTAATACTAATAGAGCAATTGATATTTATATAGCACCTTCCATGCTACACTATAAACACACCAGTGATATTATAAACTCCTGTAGCTACTAGTTATGGACCTGTTTGTGTCCTGCTTGCTTGAACAAATCCCCAGGAGTGCCCAGATGCTGCTTCTGTTCTGCATCTCATTCCCCCGTACCTGCAGGTACTCCTGTGCATACACACACAAGGACCATTTCAACTACCACTGAAATGTGCTGTTGCCAGCGTGCTAGGACATACTTTGGAAAGCGCAAGTGAAGACAGAAAGTGAAAGCAGAGTTGTGATTGCAACGGTGGAATTACACAAAAAGACAGTAAGGACACCAGGGGCCCTTGGTCACAACTAAACAACTCAATTTAGAAAAAAAGTTATTGAGAAGCACTGCTGAGGAAAACCTTCATTGAATCATAGCATTATTTTCCAAGTTATGGGTGTTCCAGCAATAGACCAGGGTAGCACTGAACACACCACAGATCTCAGTTTGCTGTGTTGCAGTTCAAGGCCAGTGACAGCACCGTGCTGGCCACTAGCTCAGTGCTATCCCAGAAAGAACACCTCTTGTACAGTTCAGTACAGTACCTCTTGCACAGAATCATCTGTGTTGGAAAACCACCAAGACCAAGTCCAACCATCAGCCTGACCTGAGTCGCATCACTAAATGTCATATATAATGAAAATGTATGTGGTGTACAAACACTTTAATGTATATGTTTGGATAAAACCAGTACCTGAAATTTAAACACATCATCTAAAGTATCATGTTAAGATATGTTCAGGAAACCAAGCACCACTATTTAATTAAGCACTGCAAATCCTAAATCTTATTAAAAGCCCTTTTGGATAGAGGTTGCTGACAAGTCTTGCTGTGGTGGTGTGCCAAGATACTACCCCTCATTGCCCCTTCAACAATAGTTGTTGGTCTCAGAGCACTGTGCCATGCATCTCATCTCAAAGCCCTGACATGTCCGCTGCACAGATATCCAAGTATTTTATAAAGCTGGGCTTATGTTCTTGCACCATGTCAATGCTTTGGAAATCTACATTTGTTCTGAAATACATTAATAAGATATTTATTACATTCTAAGTGTTTGTTTCATTCTTTGTTCCATTCCTAGTTTTTCTGCATAGGGCATTTGGGAAGCAAATGGTTGTTTGCATATACTCCTGATCTCTTCCCTGAGTAGTACCAGCTAAATCAGAGCAATCCTTGAACACAGAAAGAATGTTTCTCTCCACATACTTTGCTTTGTGTATATTTGCACTGAATTTCATCTGCTAGCCACTCATTATCATGCAGCTCCTCACAATTGTTTTTAATTGCCATTAGCTGGAATAGTCTTGGATCAAAAGCAAACACTGTCAGCTCACCAATGTGCAGATCACTTATAAATATGTTGAATAGCTCAAGCTCCAGGCCCAGAATCCTGTGGGAATACACCACCACTACCTCTCTTGCATAGTGCAAGCAAGCCATTTATTCACACCCATTGCCTCCTATCTCTCAGAGCTGTGGGTGATCCAAGAGATCCTTCTGAGATGATTTAAATTCTTCAACAGGGATCTTGTCAAACCCTTCTGGAAATCCCTACACAGCATTTCAGACAGGTCACTCTCATCCCTGCATGTGGTCTTAAAGTATTCCCTGGCTGTAAAGTCATTAAAGTATTGTTTTATACTATAACATAAATATAAGTTTTACATTTCTAAAACAAACAAGCAGGGCTGTTACGGACTTCAGCAGTAGTCATTTTACAGTTATGTGTAGAAACAGTGCAAATAAGATAACCTTCTCCAGCTGCCTGAAAATGCAACCCTGTCAAAGTTTCCTTGACCTTCACTACTAAGTCATCGGTAACTTAATTTGTAATATTTCAATTAATTTACAAATATCAGTGCCATCTGTTCTTGTATCAAGAAACAGCCAGCATTTATTTGCACATCAACTATTAAGAACTTCTTACTCACAGCCTAACTACTTCCATAAATTTAATAAGACTGTATACATGGCTGAAGACACTGACTATTCTGACATCCATTCATCAAAGCAGATACACAGGCAGGTTCCTCACCTAACTGCTATCCCCAGCCAGTCTCACACAGAGTTCCTCTAACCTTCTCATACTCCTGGGACAGTTAAGAACATAAACAGCACCTGAAACTGATCCTACTCCATTCAAGTCCAGAGCAGTTTTTCTAGCAATGTTACAGAGGATTTCCAGAGGTACAACTGTGGTTCTGCAAAAGTTGTCAGCTGCTCAGCTAAACCTCTTGGCACCTTCTAGAGCCATGCCAACATCTCTCTATAAGTTAAACAATGAATCTGGATGTTAATAACTCACATCACCACATCTGAAAGTATTACTAAGGAAACACAGTTAATTTTACTGAGTTTAATTCAACATTCAGCCTTGTCCTTCTGTAATGACTTGGTAATCAGATGGTGAGTACTGAGCTCCTGTCTTCAATCAACAGTCAATATCCACCACACCAAGAAGACAAGTAACATCTCTTAACGCACTTTATCATTAGGCATCCTTTTAAATAAACTGTTGACACTGTTAAACTCTTCCCCTCTGTGATACCAGCCTGGTAGATCCTTGTTTTCTGGGTGGATAAAACTGAACAAACCCAAATGGCAAGGTTATTTTATCAACAGTTTCAACCACATTTCATCAGTCACCAATATGAGCCTCTTGTTCAATAGACAATACAAAACAACAGTTAACATCTACAGCAAAATTTTAGGAGCTTATCACAATAATGCATTTGCTTACTTCTTGTTTTGATTTAAATATTTAAATTCACACTTCTATTTTCTAATATTGAAGAGATTTATGAACTAGATGAGAAGGAATAACATGTATTTGACTTTTTGAAATCAGTGAAATAGAGAAGCAGGCTTAATTGTGTAGCTCCTCTGATCTTCATAATTGGGACCATCCCATCTGTATTGTATCTCATATGTAACTGATGAAAGCAAATGAGTGGGAGTTGAATTTATTTGATTTTCAGAGCTCTAACAGCAGCTGGTCAGCAGGCTCAGTCCAGTCCTGTCTACTAAGAGTTGCTCAGGAGCAAGGAGGTTCAAATCTTTTATATTCTAAAAGGTTTGGGAGGAAATGCAAATTATTATCCAAAACCAGACAGCTGGAGGGCAGGAAAAGTGGGGAGCAGCCATGAACCATCAATATGTATTCGCTATTCTAATTAGTCTGCTGATGAGAAAAGAGTGGAATATATTGTGTCAATTATTTTCTACCTCCCTTTACATATATTTTAGTAGGGTATTTATACATACACCCTGCAACACCTATACATAGTTTAACATTTCTTTTAAGCAAGAGTCAGATTACACCAAACTAAAAACCCTGCCAAGATCTGCTGAGAAGTTTATCCCCTTCCTGCTTCTCTTCCTTCCCTGAAATGGATTCTGGCAGCATGCTGGAGCTGAGCAACAGCCGAG